ATTTGAAGTGATGGATATGAATCTATCAATTGTGTGTGTTGTTTTTTCATCAACAATCTATTCTGTCTGCTTTTATAAAGCTAAAATAACCTAAAAAAAAAAGTTTTTTTATTTCATGACCACACGGTTAAGTCTGCAGGGCTCTTTGGGACAAAAAAGACTACTCTGGCTTTCCAGTAATGCCTTTGCATGAGCAGAGCACTCTGTGAAGATACAGTCTCATTCCGCTGACGCAGCCAAATGTATTACCCCCCCCCCCCCCCCCCCCACCCACCCCCACAAAAACCCCCCCACACACACACACACACACACACACACATAAAAACAGGATCAATAGTCATCTCCATGTAAATCCACACAACCCTTTTTGTTGTATCAATAGACAACTTTCTTCCTGTAATTAGATTTATTGAATAGGATATTAGCCCCTTGGTTTAAAATCTACCAAAGTTTAAGGATGGAAGGAATTTTTCCCAGAAAGGTTGTCAGAAAATGCTGAACAAAGGCACCAAAGCCTGCGGTGTTGCCTTGCCGCATGTCTATAGTGGACTTCAAACCAATTAGGCCTTATTTGTTGAGTGTTGGAGTGAAAATAGGCCATTTGACTGAGCCTCTTTCACCCAGTTAGCCAAAGACAAGCATGCTTTGTGGCACACATACGGAGCGATCCAGAGGCATTTGGTTCATTCGGCCCACTTATAACAAGACCAGGAATTAGGCTTCCCCCTGGTAACTTTAAAAAGGAAACACACACGTTTTTCCTCAAACAATGGAGCAAATTGGTTTTCTTATGCAAATGACCAGGAAAAAACATTAAATGTAATGGTCCTCCTTCCTTTTACAAGTTAGTGGAGTAATGGATCATAGTGAAATGGAAAAGGTCCGTACTGAGATGCAGAGGGACTTGTAGGACAAGCAAAGAGACTAAATTTTTCCCTTTCAAAATGATGTTCAGTAGACACAATGTGTGCAAACCAAGTCCAAACAGAAACCTCAAACCTTATAAAGTTAGGAAAAGGCTACAGGCTTAATTATCAAAAATGTGTTTTTGTTTTACTTTGTCTTACTTCACTGATCTTTTTTGATGATTACATGGAAAAAGATATGTATGGATATCACAAATCTGAAAAAATATCTAGACTCAAGAAAATGCTAAAATAGAATTAAAAAAAATTAACATACTTTCTTCCATTTTCCAATTTGAATTTTGCTATAACTATGTAAGTTGACTCATTTTGAATTTTGGGTTTTGCGTATGTGGAAGCTTTCTTTTTTTCAGCGGGAATGTTTATGTGTTTCCCTTCCAAGATGACATCAATTTATTATTTTTATTACAGTCTGTGGTCACTCCCTCACACACTGAACTGGGCTGCATTTGCAGGTTGTATTTAGAAGTATCAGCTAATAATGTAACTGCCTGTGGTTTACAGGCTGTGGTAGGGATTGCCCAAAAATGTCTGGAACCGAAAGGTGGAAATTAGATGCTTGGAGTTTATGGCCAATCGAAGTTGTTCTGCTCTGCAAGTCCAGCCTTGGAAGAACTAATAGTAGCAGTATTTCTTTTTAACCAGGGCGGTTTTGTGTGGCATTCAAATGACTCCACTGGAAAAATCTGGCTGTAAAGTCCATTATCACCAGGTGTCTCAGATAAATCAAGCGACAAACATCAAACAACGTGTGTATTTACAACTCTGTCCGAGAGCAATGGAATGAGAGTAATATGGTAGTCCGGCTAAATCCTCTGCAAGGCCCCAATCACAGAGTGAGCCTCAGGAGAAGATCACAGAGGTCAGAGTAACTTCTGTTGACAAGATCTTAGACCCCTCAATCTATTTACTCAACTCTGATTCACCAGCAGATACAAGTGTTGTTTCTTCAGGCACTCTAAAAACTGTCAGTATTTTTTGTTCTTGCTTCCGTTTTTGTTTCCCATTTCAACATTTGTGAACATCACTATCCCTACAATTAAACTACAGCTATAATCTGAGGCAGTACACTTCCAGAGAACCTAAATCTAACCACTTTCCAGCAATGCCTGGAAACAAAGGCAAGTTTTTTCCTTCCATTCTGTTTACTGGGAAAACAGTGCACATATGTGGCTCTAAAGCCGCGAGAGCAGATTTTTTTCATTTCCCCATTGCTTATGTGTAACTAACTTGCCACAATCTGACCTTTAGCCCAGATGTTAAGGTCTTCAAAGCCAACATGGATAAACATCAGTAGCAACAGCTTCTCACACGAGGAGATCAATGGGGGATTTACTGTGTCAAGCTGCTGAAATCTTTCCCCTGATTCACATTGGTTGATGGCAACAGCCGAAGCACGTATGCAGAGATGTCAGAGTTTGTCAGTTCACTAAAACTGGTTTGCCAAAAATGTCAATATATGTGCTAATGAAATTCCATGATAAGGGAGCACCGGTTTTTGAGCACTTTGTTGTCTTCACAAAATCAGGGAATTTGGCTGTTGTATTTGGAAGTGTCAAAAAGGTTTAAGTAAACTGTACTTGCAGTTAGATTTGTATTTCACTCAGCAGTTGTGGCTGTTTTTTTTTTACAGTGGTGAACAACCACAGCGAACCACTGAAAAATCCCATCTGCTTTCCCAGAGAGCATGTCTCCTCCTAGCTTAAGTTGCAAACTGTCACACCATTTATCTAATGGTGCCATACCGGTGTTTTAGTTCTCACTATCAGGGAGTGAAATGGTGTGATGTGCAAGGTGTTACTAGTGTTGGATAAAGATTATTAGAACTCAGCTTGGGGGTGTTCTTTACCACTGGAATGCATTTTTCAGTAATTGCTTTTGGATGCATTCACAAATAAACACCAGTTTTTGTTTTTTTGTTTTCAGGAGAATGGGCAGACAATTTGGTGGAACCCTTTAACCACAGAAGTCACAAATGTGAAAAATGTTTTGTTTGCAGCTCATTAAAAATGGAGGACAAACCCTGATTTCTCCTCGCCGTTTCAAAACAAGTCTGAGCAGCACAGCCGATCCCTGGCTTGAAGTTTCCTTTGACAGCTATTCGAAACAGTATTGGATGCAGGCAGCATTAACGTTGATGATTGGTGAAAGCTCAAGTGTGTTTGGCATCATCCAGAATACTTGTTTCAATCCTATGTGAAAGCATTGTTTCTGCACATGGTAAGGATATTCTGTCCATTGTATATTTTAATGTCTGTCTTTTTTCATCTGCTGTTTACTTAGGGGTGAGTTTTAGAAAAGACTATGTATGTGTTATATCATCTACTGTTTGTTTCACCTGTTTTTCCCTCCACTTAATCATATGGAACACATTAATCTGTTACAAAAAGCTTTTTAGAATATTTATGTAAATTGAATATATGCTGCTTTGGATATTCTCTGTGTTTTACATAAATTTTAAGTTCAATTTACTTTATTTATACTGAAATCCAGATGCAGCACAGAGAAAGGTATGTGATTAATTCATATCTTACTTGAGAACAAAAATTTTCCTTTGGAGGAAAGTCATTTTTGAAAATCCTTTTTGAATCCTTACCTTGACTTCCAAAGTAATTTGTAAAGCTTATGGCTTTAAACAAAATCCTTGTTCCTAAAAAGGATTTGATCTTCTAAAGGGACATTGAAGAAAATAAGCCAAATTGGGTTTTACAGGGGTCTGCGTTATGCTTTTTTCCACTAAAAAATAAATCTCTAAGGATCAAGATTATTGCATTCACATAACCACATTCAAATACCTAATGGGTGAGGAATAACTTATTCATGCTCATTTTTCCACAATCAAAACCCTTGGTAAGTCTTTTTTCAAGTCCAGGGCACATTCTTACATTTAAACAGAAATATCTAACCAGCCCCAACTCCTTCTTATCTATTTATTTTATTTTTGTTTGATTTATGAAAAAATCAGCTGGTCATTACGTCTTAGTTAGATTGATTTATCACAGCTGAGGGATTGGTTGAACACTTAAGAACTGTCCCATGTGCAGAATTTCATCCACAGGATGTTTCGTCTTGCAGTCTGCTTTGTTGTGCCTCTGGTTCGTCGAGTCGGAAGTGGTTGCTAAGGTCTGCTTCCAGGGGCGTCTGAGGAATCTGGGTCACTCGACCAGACACAGCATCACTTCTGTAAGCGGAATGTCATCTTATCCATATCTTTATTCAAAACATTTGCGCCAGATGATTTTTGAGATAAACAACAAAACCCTGCAGTGGCTCGTTTTGTGAATCTTGATTTTGAACTCTCAAGCTTTATTTCCATCACCATCAACACAACCTCTTGCCTTCTCTATTACCGTAACTGCACTCCTCTGTTCATAAAGGTGTCAGGTCAGAATGATTTCAAACTTTTCTTTGCCAAAGGAAAAAGCTTCCCCCAATCATATCCTTCTATGGTAAACACAAGAGAAGGCCAGTAAGGATTAGGCCTCCCACTGTTTCACAATTTTCCTGAGTACATTTATGATACTTTTCTGACTCCTTGTGGCTGAAAAATGCAAATACAACAGTATGTTACTGGATGTACCACATGATTTCTTATCTTAAAAGTTGATACTTTACATTTTTCCAGTAAATGTCTAATCCTTTACCATTTATTTCAAAAGAATGTAAATAAAACAAGCACATACATCTGTAGTGATCCTAATGCATTATAACATAATTGAAAGATCTTTGTTAATTGTATGTTACTATGTTGACATTTCTCAAATCAATAGAGCAATAATGATAATGATACGACTTTTTAAAAAAAGGACGTGTCGCCTGATACCTCTACAACTGAATTTACTTGTTGCAGCCATAAGGCCACAGAATATTGCTACTGACATCCATCCATCCATCCATTTTTTGAACCGCTTATTCCCAAATAGGGTCGCGGGGGGACTGGAGCCTATCCCAGTAGTCAATGGGCGAGAGGCGGGTTACACGCTGGACAGTCCGCCAGTCTATCGCAGGGCCGCTACTCAGATCCACTAATACCAATAAACAAACAGCACATGCTCACAATAAATACTTTATTACCACAATTAAAAATAGACAAAGATATCTGTACGGAATGATAATTTCTTTTTATAGCATTTTTTTTACTTACAATAGCTTAATCTTGAAAATAAACAATCTTTTGGCTTGAAAGGAAATAAACATAAACGGTTATATATAAGGGGTAAGCGATGAAATAGTCACATTTCACACATACAACAAAATTACAAATCCATTACAGCACAAAATTCCAAAATACTTTGTTGAGTAAACAAAGGGATTACTCCAAGGCAATATTCAAACACAAGCTGCCTATGAAAATGTCCAAACATTACCAACAGCTCTCAACAACATTCTATCGCTAGTTGATTACCTCTCGTCACAACTATGATCTCCATCTCAAAGTCATGCTTTAAAAAGGTCCTTAAATATGCAAATTATGGGCTTATTCTATCTCTCTTTGCATTACTGGCTTTACTTTTAATCCTCTTTCATATTCAACTTAAATTAAACAGAAAAACTTCAGCTGGATATAATGAAGTCCTGTTTTCAGATAGTTTGAGCCAAACATTGTTCGTAAAAACAGTGTTAATTTAATTCAAGCATCTAAGGATCTGTGTTGGAAATATCCAGGTCACGGGGTACGAGAGGCGGGGTACACCCTGGACAGTCCGCCAGACATTGGACTTTCATTCAAACATTTATCTAAAGAGCTCATTGGAAAACTATTCTTTTCACTTTTGACAGTCAGAAAAAACAATTAAAGAAAGAAAATGAAGGGAGTCGAAAAATAAATGTTAATCCAGACTGAATTCACAGTTTTTATCTAAAACTTAGAAACTAAATTTGTCTTCTACCTGGCAAAAACTTCAAAACACCCAATACCCTTTTGCCGATTGATTTAGCAGCTTAGTGACGTCAGGGTCATTTGTAGCACTCACATATGAAAAACACTGATGGAAATGTTGTTGACTAACTGTGGAAGTTGGTGAATGTAAACTCTAGTATATCTGATACTCCCAAAAGTCAACCTCTTTTTAAAGGTGCCAGGTATCTCAGAAGACGGATCATGTGCCCCGTGTCCACCAACGCTGATGGTTAACATCTCTTTTGTTTCCATCACTCTTGAATACCAAATTGCTCCTTGTTCTACCAGCTACCTGATTTTCATGAGTTAGATTTGTCTCTAAAAATAGTTCCTGAATCATTCATTTTGTAAAACAAGAGTTTGGCACAGTGGAACAAGGAATTTAAAGCACCGTAAAGAAGAATCTCCAGAACAGTGCAATAAATATGGACTTTGTTTCTGAAATACGATGCAGTCCAGGATGTAGTGTGTTCAATGGTGAGAGGGGTTTGCTGCCTTAAGCTGTAAGTTGCCCTGTGGACTGAACAGTTCTGTATTGAGGCAGGTACAATGGCGGGAAGCTGGAAGGTGATGCTGACAGCAGCTCTCCGGGCAGCTGGTTTAAGCCTCCCGGACCGAGGAGAGGATGCAACTCCACAGAGCATCCCTCATTGTCCAAAACGGCATTTTTAAACTCTATTCCTGCATTCTCCTCACTGCGCTTCTCATCCTCGCCCTCCTCATCTTGTGCTGGATATTCCATTACTGGGTAATACAGAAGTTTCTTGTCAACCTCTACATTGTGACCACTGTCCAGCTCCTTCACTCCATTAACTAAAGATACAGAAATGTCCAGGTTTTCCCCAGAAAACTCATCATTGGAACTGCCCCCACTACCAGCCTTGTGACTGAGATGGACAGGCAGCTGGTCATCCTTTGCATGAGGCAACTGCACTTTGGAGTATGTGATTAAAGACTGGGTAGAACGGTCAGTGCTACTTTGATGCGAGTCCACCTTAAGATCGACTGGTTGAGTTTCATCGATCTCAAAGCTTAAGCTGGTCAAAGAATCCTGATTAATGGCTCCGGAGGGAGTTTCATCATGTAGGGAGCTAGCAAAAGCAATGCCAGGGTCAGGAGCCAGGGACATCTTTTTATCAACAATGATCATTTTGGAGATTTTCTCAGAGGGCATCAGTAGTGGCAGAGCTTGCAAACCTCGGTACAGGTGGTCAAAGGTGTCCTCCTGAAGAGACAACACGTGCATATCAGCAAGGGCCGAACATAAGACTTAATATGAGGCTCACATTTGAAACTGAAGTTGATTACCAACCTCAACCTGTCTTCCACAGACTGTCCATTAGATCACAAAGATTTTGAATAAAAACTTTACCTTATTTAATTTTGTACCTTTTCTGTCTTTGTGCTGTGATACTGGTAAAGATCTATCTATCTATCTATCTATCTATCTATCTATCTATCTATCTATCTATCTATCTATCTATCTATCTATCTATCTATCTATCTATCTATCTATCTATCTATCTATCTATCTATCTATCTATCTATCT